CCACCACATCTTCATCAAACATTTTACGAGCTTTACTCAATACCCGCCTTATGCCTAATCAATGTGAGGATTCTCAACGTTTACTAGGTGGTGCGTTCGAATACCCGCAGTGGTAGTTTTGATTATCATTCTTTATGCTTTAATGGGGAGAGTTAAAGTACCAAATTCTAAAAGTTTGATTTTTTTTTTTATCTCAGTATAGTTTGGTACATATTTCATTATTTTATTTTGATAATTTATTTATTATTCTAATATAGGTATTAATAAATAATGGTAAGGATTTTGATATAATTTTGTTTTAAGAATCATGATGCACTAATAGAAAAATTAAAAAGAAAATTGTTGAAGGTTTAATTTGTCGAGTACTGACATATCTGGAACTGGAAGTGTAAATGAATATCGTAAATTTCAATGGTACAAAATATATATAAAAAGGTGATTGGAGACGAGAGCTATGCTTGTATCAAGTCAGTGCTCCTTTCATACCCTTCCACCCATGCCTTTACAAAGCAGAAACTGTAAACTTATATTACGTCGCTTACTTGGAAACAAACAATGTGGTACAAGGGAAGGGGTAAAATAGGACAGGAAAACATTGTTCCCCTGGTACCTATTTCGAGCCCAAATTCCTATATTCTTGAGAGGACAAAAACTCAGGAAAAGAAGGGGAGTCGGGAGAACAAGAGTAAAATGGCCTAAAAAAAAATGGTTTAGGCTGAGAGGATTGGTGTTCGTTTTTAGTTTTTTACACGCTGACAACCAGCGCAGAAGCACTGTAACAACACTAACGTAAGAGAGCAAGGACTGTAGTGTCCATTGCTCGTTAAAGGGTCCAATTCATGAAGAATTGTCCAAGCAGCCGTAGTCGTGGGTGATACTGTCGTCGCCGGCGAATAGAGGCAGCTTTTATTTGAGTGTGGAGAGTCGATAGGAAAGAAGTGAAAGGCAATGAAGCCGGCGGCGGTGCAGATACGAAGAAGGATGCCCCGCTATAAGCACAATTTCGTCTTTGGTTGAAGAAAGGCGATAAGAACAACAAAGTGAACAAACACCAGGCCCGCTGTTTTGACCATTTGGGCTTCCAACATGATTCGGCCCACTATTTAAGCGTAACTGACGAGGCCCGTTGGGTGAAGAGCGACCCAAACAGTTGCTCTGGCTTTATAGATTGTGAGACTCCAGGTACGGTGGTCGTGACTGGGAGAGCCGTCGGGCCTTGTCTGAGATGGTGCCGGCTCCGATCCATCCCACATGGTGAATTTAGTCGTACCCCTTCACAATATGGCTGGAAAACGGTGGTCTGGTCTGTGTATGGTCTTGTCCATACCAGACCACATATACGGTCTATGGTCCAAACCGAGAGACTGGAGTATATAGATCAGAGATCAAATTACATAATATACGGTGCGGTCCAGACCACGTCTGTGTGGTTTAATCGTGGATCATATACCACACGCTAACAAAATCGACCTAATGGGTATGTAATTTATGAAAAACTTTAGAAATATTTGTTATTTTCTTAAGACTAAGAAACAAATCGTAATATTTTGAATGTAGTTAAATTATTGGATGAATTAAGGTTTTTACTAATTACAACTTTATTATAGGTAAAATATGATGTATTAAAAGGAAATCATAAGTAATTTGACTAAAATAACATATAATTTAGGCAAGAATGGACGAAAATGGAGCGGGTCAGGTCAGGTTAGATCGATCAAAATACATATGACAGCTCCGTCCCAAAATAAGCTAAACAGGTCGGATAAAACGGTTCGCGTCAAAATTACCATCCAAGAAAGGGTTTGCTGACAAGAAAAGACAAATAGAGAGCGACGAGCTCGATGAATGTGGAATTGCTATGGCTATGATAATATGGTGTATCGCAGATTTAATCCAATATATGATTTGATTATATAGTACAGCTTGCGGAATAGAAAGTGTTTCAGTGAGTTGAATACAGAGAATTAATGAATATAAATAGACAAATGAATGAATAGGAGTTAAAAGGCAAGGAAAAACACAAGTATAAATAAGGAGGGAGAATCAACTAAACAACTATATTCCCCCGAACACCGCACTTACTATAAAAAAATTCCACACAAAATATGACTTATGCAAGAAATTTCCACAACACAGAAATTTGACCTGGTTAGTTGGAGTTTCTAGCGCTTAGGCAATGGTTCGCTAGAGTAAGCAGCGAATTACTATGAATCGCACGAATTACATGAATCGCAGTTAGCAAAAACGAACCGACCTTGAACCAGTTTCGATCATTACCAACTAGCGATCCACGCACATCTCTAATGAATTAAGTGATTTTGTCCAAAAAATTGCTAGCAACAGTGAACCGCACCAAATTTTTTGTATAAGGTACGTAAATGTTGTATATTGGGTTTTTTTAGTAAGGATTGGAGAGAATATCCCACTCTATAAAACAACTTGTTGAATCTTGCCCAAACTAGAAGCATAGTAGCCAACGTATAAAACCAATCAATTAGAAAATAATTTACTTAATTAATATTTAACACATCAAAGTAAGACCACTAAAGTTATACAGAGTCCGATCCAGGTCACACTTAGAAAATGAAAACAATGAGTATACAATTTTCTCAGTCAACAATTAATATCAATTAACTAATTAGGTACATCTATCTATGAGCTAATCACCACCGTAAGATCGGGTTCTAGAATTGGACAATTGGTCTCGAGTCCAGATCGGGAGAGCGAGAGCAAGAGCTCGCGGGAATAATACCGTCGTCGCCTACAAATCGCTGGCTTCGTGGTATCAGTAATAATACCGGCTGGAGTACTGTGGAGGATGGTGGAAAGGAACGAAGGGAGAGGCAAGGAAGCCGGCGCCGGGGAAGAAACGAAGAAGGATGCCCCGCTGTAGTACAACTTCTTCTCGTTCCGATCATCAACAATCTGCTGCTGTTTCTTGCAGTTTCTTGTAGTAGTGGTGGGCATCAAACTTGTACTACAAGGAAGTTGCTGTTGCTGCTGCCATGGCACTAGGCGTCTTGATGGAGGCGGGGTAGGGAGAAGCCCGCCGGAGGTCAAAGGGTTGAAGACGATGACGCCCATTTTAGATTCTACCAAAAGGGAGAAAGATGGCCAAGAATGGGGAAAAGGAGTAGTGGCAAAGAGGCAAGTGATTTGGGAAAATGAGTGGGTCTTTGCTTTTATAGCCGCTTCGGGTTTCGCTTCCATTTTGGGGTGGCCGTTTCCTGGCCGTGTTCGGATTTCCTTTTCCTACTGGGATTCGGATAATTGAAAGGCGGACAATTAAAGAGGCCTGGCGATTCGGGCTTCCTGGTATACGTGATTGCCAGATTGTTGTAATGGGCGGACTGGACTTGGCCCAGCCCAATCATCACTCTGGTGGTTCTTAACCGTTCCACCTCCGGATAAACAAAGTCAAATAAGATGTCTTTTTCCGTGACTAGATTTGTAGATATAGGTAATAGGTTGCACATAAAAATAAAAAAAAAGATTTGTAGATATAGATGAGATTAGGTGACCAAGGATAACTTTTTACTTATCGTTGTTTCGCTCACTACTGTCTATTGCCCCGGTCCAACGCGTGACGTCATGAAAAGTATTTGAAGATCAATTTGAACTTTGGTTTGTTGTGAAAATTATAGCTCGAGACTAACAATTAAAGCTTTGACGATGTCTTGCTCACTACTGTCTATTGCTCCGATCTAACGTGTGACGTCATGAAAAGTATTTGAAGATTAATTTAAGCTTTAGATTTGTTGTGAAAATTATAGCTCAAGATTAACAAGTAAAACTTTGACGAGTCGTATTTCATCTGAGGTAAAAGAATCCAGTTGAAATAAATCTGATATCTTGATTGAAAAAACACCATTGAACTTCCATTCTATAATATCTGTCTTCTATAAATTATGTTTTTCTCATGGTCATAGCTACTTAAATTCCAACTTGCAATTCTGGGAAGCCGAACACCAGCCATATAGTCTCGGCCAGCCCACGTCCCCGACTCCAACCACGCGTTTTCTCTCTTCTAATCTTTTCTATGAAACTGTGAAAGATCTCCTCGACGACCAGTCCCTTGTTACCTTCACATTTTACGCACTTGGTAGTTGGTACCTTGTTTTCGTCGTCGATGAAAGCAGGAAGCACATTCTAATCCCAATCAGGTTAATTTTTGAATGGATAAAAGCCTATCGTAATATCATTGGTGAAGACTGTTGTGTGAAAGAATCATAGATGCCGAAGTACCGATCATCTTCTCCACCAACAAATAGACAATTTTGTTTTCTCACGGCAGAACCAATTACTTTTATGGGTCTCCGGGCGATTCAGTTCAGAATTTAGACCGGAGTGGCAGCTCGGCTCCCATCAAAACCCATCTTGGTCTCCTATTGTGCATCTCTTAACAAATTGAAGATCACCAAAGCACGATGACCACCAGCAAAGTGAAGAAGAAATGACGCAAACAGAAATATATTTCCACTAGAACTTGAAAGGATTACATAAACTGATGAACACGACACGAACTTAACAGAATACCCTTTTCAACCATGAAATGAAACGAACTGAAAGAAACAAACTGCTGCAGATTACAGACACAAACGCTACAACCCATTTCACATCTACTAGTTACTTTCTATCCAAGCTCTACACACCCCAACTTTACTTCACTTCTGACTCGTAATCAACCAACTGCCCCGGATTGAGAGGATTCACCTATAGTAGTAGTACTATACAACAGATCCTGAAGAGATCTCGTAACCAATTCACCATGCTTCGACACCTGCTGCTACTCTTGCTGCTGCTGCTGCCTACCTTGAGTCTAAACCAAACTTCTCGATCTTATCCCCTTGAAAAAATAAGGGATAGATCGAGCGAAGAAAGAAGAAACCCAAAATAAAGGAAAAGAGAGAAGAAGAGGAAGAAGAAAACAAGCAAAGAACAAGATGGACAAATTACAAGGTTACCCTCCCCGGATCTGGGATCCTCCCTCTCCCCCACCACTACAAGGCGAGGTTCAGAAGCCTGCGCAGATCGTTGGTCGCCTCGCTATCTACACCAACGACGGCGCTCTTCTTGAGGAAGACGGGGACCGGGAGGGAGCTAGGAGGCGGTGAGGTGAAGAATCCGGATCCGGCGTAGAATCCGGCTACGGATCTATTCACTAGGGGAGGAGGTGCGGCGGCTCGAACGATCGGCTTCTTCGGAGTCACCGGCGGAGAAACCGCCAGATCCAGCTTGATTTCGACCTTCTGTTGAACTTTAACTGCGGCGGTCGAATCATCGTCTTTCTTCTTCATCTGGATCGGCTCGCCTCGCTTGAGGATCTTAACCTGTCCCATGGAAAGGACCTTGGCTGGATATAGGGACGACGAGTCGGCAGTGGGACGGGGAGGCGGAGAGGAGTTGGGGCTCCGCTTCCTGCGGCTGTTGGATTGACCGCGGCCGTGCTTGGTAGAGCTGGGGGCGGTGGCGGGGCTAGGGTTAGGGTTGCGGCGGATTTTGTTGCGCGGCGGGGTGGAGAGGAGACCGCCGCGGGTGGAGAAGGGGTCGCGGAGGCAGTCCTGCGGGCTGAGAACGGCTGTTGCCATCGCGGTGGTCGGAGTTTGCTACGAGGAAGGAAGAGAGCGGCTCTCTGGATTTTGATCGGGAGAAAAAAAAAGAAGGCGGAGAGAGAAAGGCAGAGCTTTGCTTCGGCTTATTGCCTTTCTTTTTTCTTGTTGTTTCTCTCTCTTGGAGGTGTAGGAATGTGAAAAGATAGCAGAGGACGGCAGGAAGATATGGGATTTTTATAATAGGAGGAAGATAGGAAGGTTAGGAAGGTGAAAGGAAAAAGGATTCAGCAGCTAGCTAGGGTTGCTCATCTCTTTCCTCTTTCCCCACCACCACGCGGAACCGCCTTTCTTGATTCGTATCAAACACCGTCGTTTTGTTTCTTCTTATTCTGATTTTCATTTATTATTTTGGTCAGACGCCCTATTTCTTTCCTATTAAAGTTGGGATTATTTTCTTTTTTTTATGGCAGTTATTATCCTTTCATCTAACCTTTTATAATGTAATTTGATCGTAAAATTACCTGCTTGTTTGTCTTAAAATACCTACAGCCCGCAAGGCGCAAACAACTAGTCAACTATTATGTAAAAACTAAGAAGATAAATAATTTAGTGGAAAAAAGGAAAAGATAAGGTTGGCCGTTGGGGGTAGTAATGGTAATTTAGCTGTAAAGCATGGGGTATTTTTTATTTTGTTGCGACGGTATGGTCTCGTCAGGGGATGAGATAGCATGCCTACCCATAAAAGGGTTGGCAAAATGACAACCCTTATTAATTATAGGTTTTTAAGGTAATTAATTTGTGTTGCATTTAATAATCTGTATGAATTAAAAACACATATTAATTACTTTCCTTTTTTCTGTGCACTGGTAGTTGTATCAGTGCACTGGTAGTTGTGTACAGGTGCAATGGTAGATGTATCACTGCAATGGTAGTTCCAAAAAAGGAAAGTAATTAATATTTATTTTTAATTCATACAGATTATTAAATGCACCACAAATTAATTACCTTAAAAACCTATAATTAATAGGGGTTGTCGCCAACCCATACAAGGGTTAGCATGCTAACCGATCCCTCTGGTCAGTGCCTCCGTGGGATATAAAGGAAGAAGAACGTGGGGCCCAGAAGCACTAATAACGATAAAATTGAATGATGAAAATATAAAAACGAAGACATGCTAAGAAAGCGGATTTGGACGCGTGGCAGTTAACGTGTGGAAGGTGGAAATGGCGTAAAGCCGTCAACTCCGAGACGTGCGATTGAATCCAGTCCAGCATTTGGCGCTTTCGGAATTGGGCCTTTGAGCCCACTTTTCTATTATTATTTTTATATTTGGGTCGGTTGGTTTGAACCGCTCTTTCCTCTTCCCAGCTGAACGTGGACCACGTCAATGGGATTGGTGGGAGGAGTGCTACATATATACGGATATACCCTCTCCAAAAAATTGTGATTTCTTTTATGTGCTAAAATTATGATATCTGCACATTAATGTGATTCCGGGCCAATCCTCTTTGGGCCTCTTGGATTTAGGTAGCTAACACAGCAAGTTTGGGAGATTAGGCAGTCACAGAAGCCCATAGTTTAAGATTTGGGCTTTTTGCTATTTCAACCAAAATTTGGATAGCAGGAGAGTAAATCCAAGTTCGTATTCTATGGGTCAAGATGGGGGTTCGGGTAGCTCGGCCCAAGCTAACCACCATCTCGGAAATTGTTGAGCACTCTTATTCAGAGAGGACACGGTTCAAACAGGGCGAGATAAATATTCACTTCCAGTCAAATACTTGGCTCACTTGGTTTATTATAAAAATTAAGATCATTATAACCCTCGTATTCTTTACGGTTTGGTATCAAATGAATCAAGAATTCATTTCATTGTAAAATGAATTATCGTGTAGAATTCATTGTCAAATGAAATCCTATGTTTGCCATGTTATATTCAAATCTTTAGAAATAAAATGATGTGTCGTATTGAATTCATTATCAAACGAATTGTTGTGTTTGGTATGTCATATGTATAAGTAATTTAGGGGTCGTTTGCTTGAGGGTTTTGGTGATGGATTTGGTCATGGAAATATATCCATCATGCACTTGAACCGAAATCCATCGTTTGCCTTAGGGAATTAGGGAGATGGAATTTCTGGGGCCCACCACTTTTGAGGTTCCAAATCCGTGGACCCCACGGACTTGGAAGTTCCACCTCTTGAGGTGGGATTTGGGTGATGGATTAAAATCCATGATGGTAAATTACCTTTTTACCCTTAATTATTTCTTTAATTACAAATTTGTCCTACTTTAATTCAATGGTCATGCAACTGTAAACTTTTATAATTTCGTATTTTATAAATATGAGAATTTATCATTTCATTTTGTAATATCGTATTTTATTTAAATATGAATGTATATGTGATTTGTTAGATTCACCTAGAAACACTTTATGCTCATCTTATTCATTATTATTTGATTGATTGTCGGATTCCACATCGGTGAGTTAGCAAGAAGATGATGAGTTTGTAGCAATAAAGCGAGCAATTGGCTGCAATTGATACATAATATTGCGTACATTATTAGATGAATTGTTTTTTTTATGAAGGATTATTAGATGAATTTTTAATTAGTGCCAAGATGAATTGTTAATTAGTGCCAAATTGTAATACATTTCTATATTTGTAGTTGAATTATTAATCCACATAGTGGTAAAGAGTTAAAAAAAAAAAATCTACGTTTTGGGTTAGTTTTAAATGAAAGATTTGGATTATAATATAGAAATATAATTAAATAAGGGTAACTAGGTATTTTGTATTTAATATCTACAAATCTAATCAAACAAAGTCCATAATCAAATCCATCAAGCAAACAATAGACTTGTCCAAATCCATAATGCCACCAAATCCATCATATATCCATGGTTTTCCAAAACCCAGGTTTTACCAAAACCCTCATTTTTCAAATCCATGAAGCAAACGACCCGTTAGTTAATGAAAGAGGATAATCATGTCATTCTATTTTAATTAGTAAATACTTGTGGAATTCATTTGGAAATTCCATCTCAATTCCTCGGAATTGCTATAACTAGTTCCAGTTTCGTAGAATTCAAAATTTAGAATTGAAAATGAATTCTTCTTAATAACAAACACAAAAATATTTCATTTCAAAATGAATTCCTCAAAACTGATGGAATTCATTTATACCAAACGGTATGTAAGACCTGTTATTTAGAAGCACACAATGCATAGTTTGACATGACACACAATTATTTAAATGAATGATTGTACAATCGAAACTTTTAACTTACATTACTGTGATAATTTTCTTGAGATTGCAGTATCTTTTTTGTTCCAATTTTACTCTTTTAAAAGTACGTTTGTATTGAAAAGAATCGTTATAAGTTGTTTTCGTATCGGATAAATTGTATCAAATTGATATTGATCATAATACATCCATTTGTTAATCAAAGAAACCAAACAACTCCTTAATTGATTCAATGGCATGCAGTTTTAGTTAGAAAAGAAAAGGAATGTTATTATAATTATACGAGACAAACTCTAACTCAACCCGTTCACGAGGCTAATTAGATTAAACAAATAACCGATGCACAAAATCATCGCAATACCGCAGCGAATTAAGATCCACTCATTTTATTTTTTTTAATAAATTAAGATCCACTCACGGGATGAAAATGGGAAATCCTCATCTTCTTCGGGTTTTTACCCCCCAGCAAGATGTCGGCATAAAAATACTTCAAAAACGTCAAAAAGCCATTGATGGGCTGCCTCCAAAGGGCCGTTTTGTTTGCGGGACACCTTTTTGGAACGACTGAAAATATGAAATGATTGAAAGCTTACGTCTACAAGACACGACTTCGTTCAAAACTCAACTAAACACAACCTACCACAGGAAAGAAGGAGAAACGACGTTCATGCAATCAACAATTTGCATGTATTATGTAATAGGATCTTCAATTATTACCGCTTAAATGATTGCCCTTAATATATCCAACTAATAATGGAATTGGTCTATAATGGTACAATGAATGAATGAATTTATTAATTAATTAAAAATCATACGTAGCATTTCTTGCTTCGCCTAGGAAGTATTGGGTGGGGCCGGGGGGGAATATGGGAGTGGTTTCATTATTGACGCAAAAAGTAGAACCTACCATTTACAAGCGCGCAGCTCTGCTTGTTTTCTTCTTCTTCTTCTTCTTCTTATTGTAGAGGCGTCTATAATTAAGTTATCGGATTTGTTCAATTAATGTAATCAATAGTGGTTGGGAAGAATGTAAAAAAAAAAAAAAAAAATTAGTGATTGGGAAGAAGAGGTGGTAAATATGGGTGGTTTGGATCATGAATTCTAATGGATCAATATGATACAATTGTCTCGCTTTGAGAGAATTGGATCAGATTGACTCGTTTGACATTAGAATATCTGAAAGAAATAATTTGCCATGGGGTGAGGGCAGGTAATTCGAATTGACTCGTTTTAAATGACTCATTTTTGTAAAACGAACAATTGTCTAAATTGTCTCGTTTTGCAATCGATTCATTCAAACGATCCTTTAGATTTTTGATTTGGTGAATTGGGCTAAATAAAGTGAATTAATGGATCGAGGTGACATAAAAAAATCTTGGAATTCAATTTCGAACCGCAACATTAAAAAGCAAAAAGTGATAAGCGGGTTGTGCATTTTAATTTCATATATATACAATCGAAAATTGATGTATGTCGGTAACAATTATCTACAAAAATTGGTATCCATTCCACTGGACAATAGCAGGGCGTCACAATGAGCAATTGTAAATGTAAGATCAATTCATGCCACGAACAATGAACATAGTCCTCAAATGTTTTCCAATATGTAAGAGGTGATTTAACGCAGTCAGTTAATTCAAACTAGTGTATTAATTGCAAGACACCGGTGGAGTTGGCATAACAAATGTTGAGGATAGAACAGACAACAATCCCACTTAATTCTCAAAATCACATAAAAGTACATGTAAATGTTCAATCAGGTTGAAAAAAAATATAGTTGTTGGTAAGTC